AGGAAGCAGCCCGTGACCGCTGACTAATACCCTGGTACCTATTTTACTGCTAGGTAACAGGGGCATAGGGTGAAAAAAACTCTGTCCATTGTTTCTCGCCGGCGCCCGGGATCGAACCCGGGACCACAGGATCACAAGTTCAGCGTGCTGTCCACTCGGCTGACCAGCTCCCATAGTGAAGTGAGGTGCTTCTTCACCTCATCTTCGGGTACATGTCACGCAGTAAGACATGTCACGCAGTAAGTAAAAAGTAAGATTAATAATTCTAACACGAATTTTCTCAATGTTTCTTATATTTTTCTTCACTGTTGATGGTAACTGAAAAATCAATTCTCCAAAATTCATTTTTATTTCTAGTCTAGTCTAGTCTAAATAAAAATGAATTTTGGAGAATTGATTTTTCAGTTACCATCAACAGTGAAGAAAAATATAAGAAACATTGAGAAAATTCGTGTTAGAATTATTAATCTTACTTTTTCGGTCATATTTAATATAATATATAATATATATATATATATATATATATATATATATATATATATATATATATATATATATATATATATAATATATAATATATATATTAATATATATATATATATATATATATATAATATATATATAATATATATATATAATATATATAATATATAATATATATATTAATATATATATATATATATATATATATATATATATATAATATATATATATAATATATATATATAATATATATATAATATATATATATATATATATATATATATATATATATATATTAGTATACAACTAATACACACACTATACACACTAATATATATATATATATATACACACTAATATATATATATATATATATATATATATATATATATATATATATATATATATATATATATATATATATATATATATATATACTTCTATTCAATACCCATTGTTTCATGTTCTGGCTTGTGTTGATGAAATTAATACCTTATTAAATACCACCTCACCCCATCCACCTCACTCAAATGTAGATATAAACAAAATCGGAGATGTGTAAGTTCTATTCAGTTGTGTATGTGTTAACTAAAGTCTTTGAAAATGTAATAAGTTTTACGAAACGCGCTCAAGTGTCGCGTCAGACTAGAAATAAAAATAAATTTTGGAGAATTAATTTTTGAATTACCTCCAACAGTGAAAAGAAATGTACGAAAGATTGAGAAAATTCGTGTTAGAATTATTAATCATACTTTTTCGGTCATATTTAATAATATATATATATATATATATATATATATATATATATATAAAGAGCCAGACAACACACACAAGAGCCAGACACAGACAAGCAAGTCATTAAAGTCTTGACTTAAGCCACACTTGTGACCGAGGCAAGGCGGAGCTGAGCTGGACCTGCCCACAGTTGCCCTCAGACTAAAGCCGAACCTTAATCATCCTCACCTCAAATTGGAAGGGGAGACACAATAAAAAGGCAAACTAACAAGCTGTCAAATCGACGCTTAGAGCCACAAGTGGAGGGAGACGGGCCAGGGTGTGGGAGGCGACCGTCCGTGGGTGGTGGTGGTGTAGTGCAACGACACCCACCCACAGAAGCACTAAATGCCGTCTCCAGCAGCAGGAGACGGTCTAGGTGTCTTCTCCAGCAGCAGCAGCGGCAGGAGACAGAGTGGCGTCCCCGGCAGCAGCAGCAGGAGACAGTGCCGTCCTCGTCTGCAGCAGCAGGAACAGCAGCAGGAGACAGTGCCGTCCTCGTCTGCAGCAGCAGCAGTAGACAGTGCCGTCCTCGTCTGCAGCAGCAGGAGCAGCAGCAGTAGACAGTGCCGTCCTCGTCTGCAGCAGCAGGAGCAGCAGCAGTAGACAGTGCCGTCCCCATCTGCAGCAGCAGCAGGAGCAGCAGCAGGAGCAGCAGGAGGAGACAAAGCGCCGTCCCCAGCAGCAAGAGGTGCGGCAGACCAAGAAATGGTGGCGCCGGACACTGTCTGGCGTGTGTGTGTGTGTGTGGGAGGCTGGCGGAGTGTCGCTCACCACCACCAAACATTGAGGCTTCATACAGTCTTCAGTGTTACCGTCCATGGCTAATTTTAACACGCTATATAATTGGTGTTTTACAAGGGTCAATACTGACTTAGTGGCAAGTTAAACCTATTGGGGCATAAACTAATATTTTCATCTTTTATGACCTTTTAGCTGTAACATGTCTACTCTTTAAAAAAAAAAACGTATTTTAAAAATTGTGAACAATGTAGGTAACAGTTAGAATACTGACCAATTAGGCTTGACAAATGTTGTTAATCTTACTCTCATATGTTACCGATAATCTTCTTTGCATCATTACTCATCGTTGACTATTACTCATTGTACTCATTACAGTCTAGGATTATTGTACTCATTATAGTCCACAGTGAGGGTAAGTCAACCATGGGTAACATTGACCGTAGAGTGTAGCACTAGGGTAAGTCAACCATGGGTAGCATTGACCGTAGAGTGTAGCACTAGGGTAAGTCAACCATGGGTAGCATGGACCGTAGAGTGTAGCACTAGGGTAAGTCAACCATGGGTAGCATTGACCGTAGAGTGTAGCACTAGGGTAAGTCAACCATGGGTAGCATGGACCGTAGAGTGTAGCACTAGGGTAAGTCAACCATGGGTAGCATGGACCGTAGAGTGTAGCACTAGGGTAAGTCAACCATGGGTAGCATTGACCGTAGAGTGTAGCACTAGGGTAAGTCAACCATGGGTAGCATGGACCGTAGAGTGTAGCACTAGCGTAAGTCAACCATGGGTAGCATTAACCGTAGAGTGTAGCACTAGCGTAAGTCAACCATGGGTAGCATTAACCGTAGAGTGTAGCACTAGCGTAAGTCAACCATGAGTAGCATGGACTGTGGAGTGTAGCACTAGCGTAAGTCAACCATGGGTAGCATTGACCGTAGAGTGTTGCAATGGGGGAGATGTCAACAATTGGTACCATGATAGCGTGTTGCAGTCAGACAACCATAGGTGTGGCAACCATGGGTGTGGCAACCATGGGTGTAGCAACCATGGGTGTGGCATCCATGGGTGTAGCAACCATGGGTGTGGCATCCATGGGTGTGGCATCCATGGGTGTGGCATCCATGGGTGTGACAACCATGGATGTGGCAACCATGGATGTGGCAACCATGGATGTGGCAACCATGGGTGTGGCAACCATGGGTATGGCAACCATTGAGAGCAAAAAGACAAGACGAGCGATGGCAGACAAACCAGGTTTACCAAGTATTACATCAAGAGACAAATGACTGACAAGAACATTGGGAAAATCAGGATTTCTGATCATCCTGAAAATCAGGGCATGCCACGAGAAGCTGTGTATACCTGGAGTTGTGGAGACACTACAGTTCTGGGTGAGGTGCAGGGCCACAGTCACATTAAGTGTCCACGAGTTAATCACATGTGCCCAATACGCGGCCTAAGCAGAGAAGTTACCAACCTACGGTACCGTGAGAGGAAGGTTACAAGGGTTGGTCACAATGAACGGTACATACTTTGTCATTAATATCAGCTATGCATCTCTCTCCTCAACGGTCGCAGATGTGTAATGAATGACAAGGTAGAAATTCGAGTAAGAAGAATTTACGACTGTATGAACTTAAGAATGATTGATGTATATAATAGTGTAGCACATTAACAAAATAAATCAACAAATCAGGAGAAAAACAAAAATCCTCAACCGGATTATTGACGTTAAGAACTTACTCTAAAAACAGATGGCTTGTTGACAAACAATTTAAATTCTGATAAAACCAGATTCATGTTACATGAACTGTATCTAACTGTGTGAACATGAACTGTGTGAACATTTGATCTTCGCCAGCCCCTGATTCTCTATTTCAAAAGCTGTACAAATTACTAGAATAATAATGTTATGTTTAGTCTTTAAGGCAGACACGTAAAATGTTGTGTACCTTACTGATTTCCCGGGACGCAGCATGCATAATGTTGGGAGAACGACTTTACCGACAGAGAAGTCAATAATGTTTTAAAATTCAATGCCCATAACAACGCTTCAGAATCAGACTCAGCAATATCTAGCTATAAAAAGTAAATTATTTTAAATTAAATTATTTGTTATAAATGACATTTGTGTCTTCATGTAATGTCTCAGAGCGTCAAAGACAATTTAAGAATAAGAGTCAGCACAAAATGAATAGTATACAAGTATACAATACGTATACAATATGTATTGTATACAATAGTATACAATACGAATGGCAACTTTATCACATTACACTTTGCTCAAAACCTCCTACGACAATGAGGTTAAATACTTGCTGTTTCCAGATAGTGTATCATTAAAGTAAAGAATGTTGAATAACTGAAGGGGAGGGGACGGAGGACCAGCCAGCCTTATGGTCAAGGAGGGGAGGGCCTCACCAGCCTGAGAGGGGAACTGATGGAAGGACTAACCCCCCCCCCTCCTGGTAAGGGGTAAAGATAGTGATGCGGAGGAGGAAGGCACAACCACTCAGCAGCTGGCCCGGGTGGCGCCGGAGTTGCCACAGCGCCGCCAGCCTGGACCTCCTCGCCCACCTTGGCTACACACTATCCCCAACACTGCCACAAACTTACATCTCCCAGGGAAAGTTATATGCACAATACATACACAATATCACGAAACGTAATTCACACGAGAAATAATGATAAAAGAACAGATCGCTAATCCAAGAGCTACTTCTGATTAGGGAAGATGTACTCATAACACTATAACAGAGTTAGCGTAGTGAAGGGGATGGAGTTAACACACCGATATATATATATATATATATATATATATATATATATATATATATATATATATATATATATATATATATATAAAAGTTTATAGCAGCGCCCACTTATAACTATGACATGCTGGATGCACAGATGGGATCAGTTTAAAAGGAGAGTGATCGCTTCTTAGTTAGAGACCATTCTTCACTACTGACACGGAGCTTGCCAGTAGTTGAAAGATGTTGCCCGAGTCCGGCAGGGTAGAGACCGGCAGGGTAGAGACCGGCAGGGTAGAGACCAGCAGGGTAGAGACCGGCAGGGTAGAGACCGGCAGGGTAGAGTCCGGCAGGGTAGAGACCGGCAGGGTAGAGACCGGCAGGGTAGAGTCCGGCAGGGTAGAGACCAGCAGGGTAGAGACCGGCAGGGTAGAGACCGGCAGGGTAGAGACCGGCAGGGTAGAGACCGGCAGGGTAGAGACCGGCAGGGTAGAGACCGGCAGGGTAGAGTCCGGCAGGGTAGAGACCGGCAGGGTAGAGACCGGCAGGGTAGAGTCCGGCAGGGTAGAGACCAGCAGGGTAGAGACCGGCAGGGTAGAAACCGGCAGGGTAGAGACCGGCAGGGTAGAGACCGGCAGGGTAGAGACCGGCAGGGTAGAGTCCGGCAGGGTAGAGACTGGCAAGGTAGAGACCGGCAGGGTAGAGACCGGCAGGGTAGAGACCGGCAGGGTAGAGACCGGCAGGGTAGAGACTGGCAGGGTAGAGACCGGCAGGGTAGAGTCCGGCAGGGTAGAGACTGGCAAGGTAGAGACCGGCAGGGTAGAGACCGGCAGGGTAGAGACCGGCAGGGTAGAGACCGGCAAGGTAGAGACCGGCAGGGTAGAGACCGGCAGGGTAGACACCGGCAGGGTCGCATGATGACGGGAGTAGTTGCTGGGGCGACGGGAGATGCTGGGTGACGGGATGTTGGGGTGACGGGAGGAGAGTCTATGACTAGGTGACGGGAGAGGGGATGCTGGGGTCTCAGGAAATGAGTTACTTGGATGACGGGAAGAGAGATGCTAGGATGACGGGAAGAGAGAGACAGGTGATAGTGGAGAGACGGGAGAGATGAAGGAGATAGAGGGAAAGGGTGTGGAAGTGGGAGAGTAGGAGTCGTTGGTCCACGACGTGTTGTGTAAAGGTGGCGAGGCTGGATCTTGATAACTGCGGGGGGGCGGGGTCAGAATAATGTGGGGAAAGAGGACGTTTGGCCGGTGAGGGGAATAGGTAATGGAGGATAGAGGGCGTGGCTGGCTGGAAAGCTATGGATAGAAGGAGAGGGGAAGAGGCTAGGCACTTATAACATTGACTGCGGAAAACCACGGGGTAACTACAGAAAACGAGTCTTCACTAAACCCGGGTGATAATATCGGAAGGTCCAGATCTTTCTCTACTGTGATCTAGTATACGAGGACCTACAGCCTACGATATCTACGTTCTAGGTCGACTTTAACCGTCGATCTACTCTCGCTCACCTTTCCTTTGGGGTTGACAACGACCAAACTGGCACAAGGCAACGGCTTGCCCCCCGGAATGTTCAGCTTCTTAAGCTTGAAAAAGAAAACGGTTGAGTTCAGGTTAGTACGCTACTGGGAGGGGAAACTATTATCTAAAAGAGAGGTACATTAATGTGTGTGTGTGAGAGAGTAAATAAAATATTTACTCTCAGATAATTATAAAAAGACATATATATAATTAGATGGCTCAGATATCTTACATAACATATATAAATTAATGATAAAAATACTTCACAAAGTAATGGCCCATATACATTTACATCGAGGTATGTGACATTATAATACAGTATATACACAATGTACATTATGTGCCTCTCCAAACCTCTCTCCGAAAAACATAAGAGCTTAAGTCCTGACAAGAGACTTGTGTAAAGGCCTGACAAGAGACTTGTGTAAAGTCCTGACAAGAGACTTGTGTAAAGGCCTGACAAGAGACTTGTGCAAAGGCCTGACAAGAGACTTGTGTAAAGGCCTGACAAGAGACTTGTGTAAAGGCCTGACAAGAGACTTGTGTAAAGTCCTGACAAGAGACTTGTGTAAAGGCCTGACAAGAGACTTGTGTAAAGGCCTGACAAGAGACTTGTGTAAAGTCCTGACAAGAGACTTGTGTAAAGGCCTGACAAGAGACTTGTGCAAAGGCCTGACAAGAGACTTGTGTAAAGGCCTGACAAGAGACTTGTGTAAAGGCCTGACAAGAGACTTGTGTAAAGTCCTGACAAGAGACTTGTGCAAAGGCCTGACAAGAGACTTGTGCAAAGGCCTGACAAGAGACTTGTGTAAAGGCCTGACAAGAGACTTGTGTAAAGGCCTGACAAGAGACTTGTGTAAAGTCCTGACAAGAGACTTGTGCAAAGGCCTGACAAGAGACTTGTGTAAAGGCCTGACAAGAGACTTGTGCAAAGGCCTGACAAGAGACTTGTGTAAAGGCCTGACAAGAGACTTGTGTAAAGGCCTGACAAGAGACTTGTGTAAAGGCCTGACAAGAGACTTGTGTAAAGGCCTGACAAGAGACTTGTGTAAAGGCCTGACAAGAGACTTGTGTAAAGGCCTGACAAGAGACTTGTGTAAAGGCCTGACAAGAGACTTGTGTAAAGGCCTGACAAGAGACTTGTGTAAAGGCCTGACAAGAGACTTGTGTAAAGGCCTGACAAGAGACTTGTGTAAAGGCCTGACAAGAGACTTGTGTAAAGGCCTGACAAGAGACTTGTGTAAAGGCCTGACAAGAGACTTGTGTAAAGTCCTGACAAGAGACTTGTGTAAAGGCCTGACAAGAGACTTGTGTAAAGGCCTGACAAGAGACTTGTGTAAAGGCCTGACAAGAGACTTGTGTAAAGGCATGACAAGAGACTTGTGTAAAGGCCTGACACGAGACTTCTCTTCAGTAAAAGGTTGATAAAAGTGGGTGAAAAGTAATCTTGCCTGTTATTTAGTTACAAACCTGGGTACCAGGAGGCAAGAGAGTACCCCATTCCTCCTGGTACCTCCTCTCCTCGTGCAGGCGACGAGTCACAATAACGTGGCTGAAATATGTTGAACAAACCACACACTAGAAAGTGAAGGGACGACGACGTTTTGGTCCGTCCTGGACCATTCTCAAGTCGATTGTGGACTTGAGAATGGTCCAGGACGGACCGAAATGTCGTCGTTGCTTCACTTTCTAGTGTGTGATTTGGTCAACACCTTCCTTTTCTCCTTGTACCCCCCCCCCCTCTTTCCAGCTGGAAACCCCTTCTTCTCCAGGCAGCCCTTTTCACCTGGCTCCCCCTTTCCTCGTTCTGCCACCCCTCTACCCTTCCCTGGCACCATCTGTCCACTTTTTGGCACTTCCTCCCACTTTCTAACACCCCTCTTCCTCTTACAACCTCCCTCCCTACTTTTTCTGACCCCCCCTTCCTTCCACTTTCTGGCAACCCCTCCCACCTGGCACACCTTCCCCCTCCAAGACGACACACATCCACTTCTCGGGACAGAGTCTGTCTATCTTTATCCTGACCTTTATGTTGGTGTTATGTCACTCACCACTACTCTCCTGCTGACCCCCCCCCCTCCTTACTCACCACTACTCTCCTGCTGAACCTTTCCCCCTCACTCCTTACTCAGCACTACTCTCCTGCTGAACCTTTCCCCCTCACTCCTTACTCAGCACTACTCTCCTGCTGACCCCCCCCCCCCTCCTCACTCACCAGAAAAGAGGGGTCAGCAAAATGATGGAATTTACGAAGAACGAACACTAACTATCCATAAGAAAATCTGAAATTATAATAATGCTCTTGTTTTTAATTCCAGGTATATAAAAGACAATGTCTGTTTGCCTGGCAGTCTGTCCAAGGTTGGAGGCCAGACAATAGGAGCTTCATCCAACTTTGCAGGGTGAATGGTCTGGGGTTCAGGACGGACACTAGCGGGTCAGAGTCAGTCCTATTGGTCATGTTAAGAGGGGGGCCCAATGACTCCAACAGTCACCCCCCTCTTAATGGACCCCCCCCCCCCCACAACATATGCAATACGATGACTATGTTGTGGGAATGAGTGATCCCTACAACATGGCCCTCGGCCAGCGATTGTATATTGCTGGCCGAGTGTTTACAGCACTGGAATACTGGGGGGGCATGGCTGACCGGGTTCTATTCCTCGAGGGCTCAAATGTTTTCGGTTGAATATTGGCTTGGGAACATTCAAGCTTTACTTTACGCATTAATATATATATATATATATATATATATATATATATATATATATATATATATATATATATATATATATATATATATATGGACTTCGTCGACTATGGAACATTCAGTAACGTCGCTTGATTATTCCTTAGAATATAAGCAGTTGTCAATAGGTGTGTGAGCACACTCCTCGCGGCCTCCAGCCTCACATGACCAACTATAAGAGGTGGTCGTGTCGCTGTTATTATCACTTACCAACTTCTTACCTGATCTACCTTCCTCCTCTCTCTCACTTGTCCTTTTTTTAAGTATTGTTATTCACACAAACTAGCCATAGAAAAATGCTAAAGTTACCTGGTTTCTCTCCTCCCTCGGGGTGGTGGGGCGGGTGCTGGAGGCGGTGGTGTTGGCGGTGGAGGAAGAGGGAGTGCTGGCGCGGCTTGAGTCCCCCATCTTGATGGCTTGTACGGTCTCTGCTTCGATCACAGTTGTATTAATTATCTTCCCTCAGCCAAACTTTGAGTCTAAATGTCCCATGTGGTGCTCGTAACAGCTTTCTGGTGGATGTTAGTGTGTATGTTGCTTACAAAACAGGCCATATACGGTGGAGCAAGTTGAGTGTTGTCCCCGGGATCACCGGGTCTTGTCTCAACACAGCTCACCTGGGGAAGGTTCTCCCGTGCAGGGGCGCGAGGTGGTGGGGGGGGAGGCTCAGTACACCAGCAGCGGCCTGAGCACCATCGTCTTCATACCTTTGTGCTCTCCTCATAACACACACACCACGCTCACCCTTCACTAAGTATACTCAAGTCTTCACTACAAGTTCACCAACACAACATATGTTGCTCTTCAAGTACTGTACAGCACAGAGGGTGACCAATTTGAGCTCCGTCCCGGGACTCACACAGGTGTCCAACAACCACACAACAATACGCTCCACACAAATACAACAAATACAAGTCCGGATAAATTCAACTTAAGTTCCGCTCCGGTCGGTCTTTTAGCGATTACAAGGCGGAGGGTGTGGAGGAAGGTGGCGCCCGCTACAACGAACCAGCGTTTATAACGAAGCTAACCGTTAAGAGAAGGGTTAGGAAGCAGCCGGGAGCCAGCCTGGGTTGCTTGCAGCGATGGTCCACAGACACATCCGGATATTGCTGGGTTATTGCAGTCGTTGTGGCTTCTTAACACCAGTTGCATATGTCGAAAGAATCTGCAAGAGACGGAAAAGTATGGTTAGTGAAGTTGACATGTTAATTAAAAAGTTACATAAATTAACCCTCAACATTGATATTCCCTTCACATCAACATATCCCTCATTCTTCACATCACCAACATACCCCCTCCCACTTCTCACCCACAACATACACCTCACCCTACACATCAACATACCCTTCTCCATCCCAAACAAACCCTTCTTTCTTGAGGTTATCTTGAGATGATTTCGGGGCTTTTTAGTGTCCCCGTGGCCCGGTCCTCGACCAGGCCTCCACCCCCAGGAAGCAGCCCGTGACAGCTGACTAACACCCAGGTACCTATTTACTGCTAGGTAACAGGGGCATAGGGTGAAAGAAACTCTGCCCATTGTTTCTCGCCGGCGCCTGGGATCGAACCCAGGACCACAGGATCACAAGTCCCGCGTGCTGTCCGCTCGGCCGACCGGTTCCCTTACCTCTGCCCCCACAACAATATACTCTTTACCTGCTACCTTTCCAATCTAGTCCCCCCCCCCCTACACCCCCAGCACGAGACCCCTCCTCACCCCCCCCCTCTCGAATATCTGCCCATATAACAGGCCCGCCACCACCTCCCCAACCAACCCCACCCCATCCACTCATTCCCCCTCTTCCCCCTCTTCCCCCTCTTCCCATCTACTCCCACTCCCCCCCCCCTCCCTCCCCCCACCAGATACTTGGCCCACTTCCGGGTCGGATATGGTCGATATACCAGCTATACTCGCGTCTGCTCTCCATCATTCAGCCACAGACAATATCAATATTACTTGAATAAGTATTTAAATTTATTTAAAAAAGAATAACTTAGCAATATATATATATATGATATATTGCGAATATATATATATATATATATATATATATATATATATATATATATATATATATATATATATATATATATCTATATCATTATAGAAGAATTTATTTGATACACGGGTGGAAAATTAGAGCCCCAAAGAGCAAGAGAGACAGAAATAGTTTGTTCTTGGTCAAAACATTGACCAAACGGTGTGCAGAAAGATGTGATATTGCGGAGACAAACTCCATTCACAGTTTGAAATGTAGATATGACAGAGCCCAATAAGCTCGGGGAACCTGTTCACCAGGTGATTTGTACTTGACGAGCGGGAACAAAGAGCCGAAACTCAACCCCAACAGGCACAATTTGGAGTGTACACACACACACACACACACACACACACACACACACACACACACACACACACACACACACACACACACACACACACACACACGTGTCCGGCTGCCAGAGAAGGTAACATCTGACAAGATCAGCACAAGTTCTGACTTACACCTCTGGAGGAGCCAGGCTCCCCCCAGGGGATGTAAACACCTCTTATAAGATATTGAAAGGTATTGACGGTGTGGACGATGGCAGACTGTTTGATACTTGAATACCCAGAGTGAGGGGAACACTGTTGGTGGTCAACACAGGTGTTGTAGAGGGCCCAGAGTGAGGGGAACACTGGTGGTGGTCAACACAAGTGTTGTAGAGGGCCCAGAGTGAGGGGACCACTGGTGGTGGTCAACACAAGTGTTGTAGAGGGCCCAGAGTGAGGGGAACACTGGTGGTGGTCAACACAAGTGTTGTAGAGGGCCCAGAGTGAGGGGAACACTGGTGGTGGTCACCACAAGTGTTGTAGAGGGCCCAGAGTGAGGGGAACACTGGTGGTGGTCAACACAAGTGTTGTAGAGGGCCCAGAGTGAGGGGAACACTGGTGGTGGTCAACACAAGTGTTGTAGAGGGCCCAGAGTGAGGGGAACACTGGTGGTGGTCAACACAAGTGTTGTAGAGGGCCCAGAGTGAGGGGACCACTGGTGGTGGGACCACTGGTGGTGGTCAACACAGGTGTTGTAGAGGGCCCAGAGTGAGGGGACCACTGTTGGTGGTGGTCAACACAGGTGTTGTAGAGGGCCCAGAGTGAGGAGACCACTGGTGGTGGTGGTCAACACAGGTGTTGTAGAGGGCCCAGAGTGAGGGGACCACTGGTGGTGGTGGTCACCACAGGTGTTGTAGAGGGCCCAGAGTGAGGGGACCACTGGTGGTGGTGGTCAACACAGGTGTTGTAGAGGGCCCAGAGTGAGGGGACCACTGGTGGTGGTGGTCAACACAGGTGTTGTAGAGGGCCCAGAGTGAAGGGAACTTGGTCAACACAAGGGGACGTGAACACGGGCAGAGACAAAGAGAGGTGGGGGAGGTATACTGGGATACAATAGTAGGAACTACCGACTGGAAACTACGAAAAAATCGAAGGTAGTTCCGTAGTTCCTGCGAGTACTGCTCGACCAGTACTGGTGAGTGAGTAGCCTACACCAAGGCCACTCTACTTGAGTGTGGAGAGATGAATACAGCTGAGCACAGCTAAGATCATCTAAATTAACACAGCTGAATATAGTTATGATCATTTATATAAACACATCTGATCACAGCTATTTTCATTTATAAGAAAAACGCTAAGCATAGCTAAGATCGTCTATATGAAAACAGCTAAAGGAGCACAGTGTGAGTGTGTGAGAGTGAGTGTGAGTGTGAGAGTGAGTGAGAGTGAGTGTGAGAGTGCGGGAGCCAATATGGAGGCGTGGAGAGAGACTAGGTCGAGAGGAGTCAAGAGAGCTGCCAAGACAGGCAAGGGATGAGCCTGGGACCAACCCCCCTTCACTCCTATTGACCAAATTGATTGTCTTAAAGTGCACTTAAAGAGGCTGGGACAGAGGGGAGACGGCCCTTATCACTTACCCTGACTTATTTAATACTAATAATGGTCCCACTATATATGTCAGCTTGAAATGCTACATAATCTAGTAGGGAAGGGAATGTTAGTCTATGCGGGGTTGGAGGCTAGACGCTTAGGGGTACTCTCACCCAATATTGCACTATGACTGCCGTGAGGTACGTGCCTAACATGACTGCGGTCGCTACAATTCAAGAGAGAGAGAACAGCATGCCACAGTCACCGAACCCTCATGGCGATTTTGCCACAGGGTATTTGTTGAAAATAGTTCCATTGTTATTATATAAATAGAATTATATAATATTTCCAGAGAGGGGGAGGGAATGGACGGGAATTATCAGGAGAAAGCGCCAAGCCATTAGGACTATATAGCCCTTGGAAGGGGTCAGGATAAGGATTTGGAATGGGACGGGAGGGAAGGAATGGTGGCCAATCACTTGGACGGCCGGGAATTGAACGCCGACCTGTATGAAGGGAGACCGTCCACCCCTAGTGGTTGGGAGAGAGAGAAAGAGAGAGAGAGAGAGAGAGAGAGAGAGAGAGAGAGAGAGAGAGAGAGAGAGAGAGAGAGAGAGAGAGAGAGAGAGAGAGAGAGAGAGAGAGAGAGAGAGAGAGAGAGAGAGAGAGAGAGAGAGAGAGAGAGAGAGAGAGAGAGACCCGGGCATCGCCGGATACCGTCTCCAATTTGAAATAAAATCCAAAATGAAATAAACCTGTTACAACGGATGTACTTACGTATCTGTTAGACAAAAATTGCTGTAATAATTGTAGTAACAACATACACATTAATCTATCCAACGGCTCGCGGCTCTGTAACAATTTAAACACAAACAAATCTCAGCCATTTTGTTGTATTTGAAAACACAGGTTAATTGTTTTTTGTCGCTGACAGCTGTTAGTGCTGTTGTAACAGCTATATATAGCAGCACTGTAGCAGGTATTGTGTTAGTTTACCCCGTCCCGTGTAGCATACTCTATCATCACCCCATTACAGAGCTGGCTGCTCTATCACCACCCCATCACAGAGCTGGCTGCTCTATCACCACCCCATCACAGAGCTGGCTGCTCTATCACCACCCCATCACAGAGCTGGCTGCTCTATCACCACCCCATCACAGAGCTGGCTGCTCTATCATGTCCCCATCACAGAGCTGGCTGCTCTATCACCACCCCATCACAGAGCTGGCTGCTCTATCACCACCCCATCACAGAGCTGGCTGCTCTATCATGTCCCCATCACAGAGCTGGCTGCTCTATCATGTCCCCATCACAGAGCTGGCTGCTCTATCACCACCCCATCACAGAGCTGGCTGCTCTATCACCACCCCATCACAGAGCTGGCTGCTCTATCACCACCCCAACATAGAGCTGGCTGCTCTATCATGTCCCCATCACAGAGCTGGCTGCTCTATCACCACCCCATCACAGAGCTGGCTGCTCTATCACCACCCCATCACAGAGCTGGCTGCTCTATCACCACCCCATCACAGAGCTGGCTGCTCTATCATGTCCCCATCACAGAGCTGGCTGCTCTATCACCACCCCATCACAGAGCTGGCTGCTCTATCACCACCCCATCACAGAGCTGGCTGCTCTATCATGTCCCCATCACAGAGCTGGCTGCTCTATCATGTCCCCATCACAGAGCTGGCTGCTCTATCATGTTCCCATCACAGAGCTGGCTGCTCTATCACCACCCCATCACAGAGTTGGCTACCCTATCACCACCCCATCACAGAGCTGGCTGCTCTATCACCACCCCATCACAGAGCTGGCTGCTCTATCATGTCCCCATCACAGAGCTGGCTACTCTATCATCACCCCATCACAGAGCTGGCTGCTCTATCACCACCCCATCACAGAGCTGGCTGCTCTATCATGTCCCCATCACAGAGCTGGCTGCTCTATCATGTCCCCATCACAGAGCTGGCTGCTCTATCATCACCCCATCACAGAGCTGGCTGCTCTATCATGTCCCCATCACAGAGCTGGCTGCTCTATCATGTCCCCATCACAGAGCTGGCTGCTCTATCATGTCCCCATCACAGAGCGGGCTGCTCTATCATGTCCCCATCACAGAGCGGGCTGCTCTATCATGTCCCCATCACAGAGCTGGCTGCTCTATCATGTCCCCATCACAGAGCTGGCTGCTCTATCACCACCCCATCACAGAGCTGGCTGCTCTATCACCACCCCATCACAGAGCTGGCTGCTCTATCACC